GTCAATGCAACTAAATCATGTGACTATACAAAATTTGGCACATCCTCACATCGTACAAAGTCAATATATTATATAAAAAATAATATGAATATATCTTTTTCATGTTTAGATAAACTTAGCATGTTTCATCTTCGCAAGTTCGAATTTTGACATTTCTGTATAAAGATTCATACATTTAATTTTTTTTTATTTCAAATGAGCGCATTCCATGTGATGCTTTCGACAATTGAACATGCTAAGCAACTAGCATCCTTTAGTTTATGTGAAACTAGGCTCAAACGAGCAGCAAAAAATTTATGCCTACATGTTTTCTGTCAGCTTGTCAATGAAGAATGCTTCCCTTTTTACCCGAAGGAGGTGCTTTTGAAGATTTGAGGAAGGAAAGTCCAGCGCTGTAGAATATTTTAGAATAATACACAGTATTCTTAAGCATTCCACTACATTCCAGGACATTCTGGAAGTTCTGGAATTGTCTCAACCTTTCTGGATAAGTCTGGAACATTTCAGGTCATTGTTAAACATTCCAGAACAGTCTCGAGTCTCGAATGCTGTGGAATGTTATGAAACATTGTGCAACATTCGAATTTTTTTCCCGTCCACGATTATAAAACAGTGCTGAAACTTGTTCAGTTTGAAGTGGGCACATGGTTATGTTGTGTACCTGCTCAGTTCGAAGGCTATCAACTAACCTAAATAACACATCTTGCTCAAAATTTGACAGTGATCTATTTTGACGGTGGAGTCCAAGGCAATAATGGCTATTCCCAACTCGGACAATCCCAAGCTCATATGTCACCTGGGCATACTCATACTCTCTCACATAAGGTAAGAATGTGTCGATAGGAAAGTGAAAGGATTTTGAATTTGCTTTAACAATATTGAAAGACTGTTTCTATTCACTGAATTCAATATTTTCGTCCTCTTCAGCTGAAGTTCAATTTGCCATAGGTCCATGGTCCCAGGTCCCTTCTTCAACACATTTAAAAATTATATTATATCAGAAACTCACACCTTATAATTTGTAACTGAAATCCCTTATTACATGAAAATTTGCATATTTCCTTAGAAAACACAAAACTGAAGTCAACTTCCAATCTCAAAAAACGTCCCGGGTCATCATCATATTCTACTATCACCCATTAATTTGTTTTAATGAATGCGGGATGATAACATACTGAATTGAAGAATAGTAAACACATTTTTATCGTTAGTTCATGAAATTCCTTAATGTCAAAGGCCCTCCACGATTCATCAGCGATTGAAAGTAACTCCTGGAAAGGAACTTCAATATTCAGTTGGAATATTATTAGATCAGTTAATTGGAAAATGTAAGATTGCAGTGTATGATTTGCAGTTTCCACATTGAGAATAATTTACCAATTGTCCCAATCAACAATTATATTTTTCAGGTAATCGCTGGCAAAAATTCTGGGAAGTGGTTATTANTTTTTGTTTAGAATGTTATTATGATTTGTGAATTTCAAATTGGTATCTATGTTAAGTCCCAAGAATGTTATATGGCTGTCAAATGATATAAGAGTCAGCACCTAATTCTATATCCGGAAGAAAACATTTAAATATAATAAATTTTGTTGTATTGAAATTTAAACATAGAAAATTTACATCGCACCACGACTTGATTTTTGTAGGTCTCTTGTAAAATTTTTTCAAACCAAATTCACATCTTCAGAATGCCATAGAATGGTAGTGTCGTCGGCAAATAAAGTGAAGGAACCAGATATATCTAAGAAGGAAAGATCATGTTTTGTCTACATGTTTTCTGTCAGTTTGTCCTGGAGTAGTCTCAAATGCTATGGAATGTTATGAAACATTGTGGAACATTCGAATCTTTTTTTCCGTCCACGGTTATAAAACGGCGGAGAAACTCGTTCAGTTTGAAGTGGTCAGTCACATGGTCATGTTGTGTAAAATATGATGTACCCGCTCAGTTCAAAGGTTATCAACTAACCTTGATAACAAAGCTTGCTCAAAATTTGACAGTGATCTATTTTGACGGCGGCAGTGTTGCATTTGAAGTTACTGCGTGAGATATTCCAAAAGACACTGACTTATCAAACAGCCCTCGTATATTTCTAGTTTCCCTCGTATAATACACTATTATATATTCGTTATAGATCACATTCCAAAGCAGAACGCCTTCATTCATGTCCCTGTTTTCTTGTTTCAGATGCAATAAGCGAGAACAACCCCCGCGTCATTGATGATTCTCGAGCTAGGAAATTGGCCAACGATCTGAAGAGGTGCACCTACTATGAAACCTGCGCTACCTACGGCTTGAACGTCGAACGGGTGTTCCAAGATGGTAAGTCGTAATTTTCGAATTTTTTCTCCTCATTCAAATTCGTTCTCCCACGTGGAGTCTGTAATAGTATTTCTTGCATAGGTGTAGGTTAGGTGTACAAGTTTTAATTTTGTTCGAATAGTGGACGATGACTTCTCGAGAGTGTGTTATATATCTAATCTGTGTCGTGGATGATCGATTTGATTTTTGAGAGAGGAGATAATAGATGAGACATTTTGATGCCTCGTTGTTCATCTGTGTGTCGATAGGAAAGTGAAAGGATGTGTTAATCAATAGTGTTTGTTGTTTGTATATGAAATCATCAGGTGGATTCGATATTTGAGTCAACTAATTTATAACTTCAGTTTCATGTTGTTACAAGAAGTTACAGCAGAATTTTGATGGTGAGTTTTCATTTATCAGAAGACAAAGGAAGGTCGTGTTTCAAAAGCAAGTTTCTTTTTATTACTTGTGATGTAGACCGTAAGGGGTCGTGCATTACCTTAGTCCTTAGTATATACTAAACCAGAAAAACTTTGAAAAAATCAATTAATCTATCACTGATACCACCCAATGTTGTTCTCTAAAAGAACTTGGGCATTTTGTAAAAAAAACTAACCCTCAAGCAGGTATTTGCAGTGTATCACCAGATATTAAAACCTGATTCGCTTATGAAACTGAAGTGGACTGGAAAGATCCCTATGAATATTTCCATACTAATATTCCCTCTCATCTGACCCTAGAAATTTTCAGATTTCCTTATAGAACATTTTAACATGTTTCTGCTCTATAACATTTCAATCAATTTCATCATTCAGTTCACAGTTCTCTTCTTACACATACATGTGTAACTCGATGTGTAGTAAAAGGGTTCCATAGCAACAATATTTGGTATGGAGTACCTAAAGGACAGTTCCGTGTTCCCTGCTCTCTAATTCACATAAATGAATTGTTCTCATCGAAGACTCGCAGAGATATCCTCCTAGGTCTCAATGACGAAACAGCAATTTATTTGTATATGTAACTTATTTATATATAAAATTTGTGGGTGGGTGGGTGTGCATAAACTACTACGTTTCTACACTCTGAATAGCCGCCAGTATCCTCAGAGCCCCAACGTCAATGAGGAATTTTATTTTGACAGGTATGCATGCTCACCCACCTAGCAATTTATTTCATTTAATCTCAACAGTTCCTCATCAAACCACAAACCTTCAAAATATTTGGGTGTATACCTACTCATTCGTCCTGAGTGAAATTCTTACTTTCCAAGTTCGCATTCCTTATCTCTTCACTACCAGTGGAAAAAGTGAAAACACGCCATTACACCTTTAAAAAGAGCAGTCTCAGATATAAGCTATTATTATGGAATCGAGCCCAAAAAACTCATATGTATCTTCCAAAAGTTCTAGAAGTTATCAAAGTTCTTTAAAATCATTTTATAAAATAGCTTTCTCATCTGACATTTTTTATGTAGGTATGTATGTAATATATTTGACATCTATCAACTCTTTTTCCTGAAAATGAATTCGTAATACCCATATATAATACATCCCAACTAACAATTTTATATTTTACAATAGTTGGACAAACAATTTATAAAACTGTATTTCTCCCAGAAATGTTTTCAATGTGTTTATAAAACAGCTATAGGTTGGAAATTGGCATCATTTCTAAAACATTATAGTCTTTATTATTATTTTGTAAGGCCTTTCACAAACACTACAAAACAGTTTTATAAACATTTCGGCAGTTATTATAAAAAAAATTTAACACTCTTAAAAAGTAGTTTTGTAAAGATACTTATAAAATAATTAAAATACAATCGTATAAGAGTTTTAGTAGTTCCAAGCAAGCATTATAAAATATAATGCAGCCTAAAACGATAACGATAGAATAAAAATGTATTCGAAATGTTGTCTTGGATGCGCAAGAAGTAGTTTTGTATTGGACAATTGGAAAATATGACACCAACTAAAAACTACCAAATAGAAAGGTTGAAGCCATTTTAATAATTTCTCTTTTGTTCTCATAAAACTTTTCAGCAATTTGATTTTATAACAGTTATTTTATTGTTTTGGAATTGTTGTAAATGTACAATACTATAAAACAGTTGCGAAATTATCATTGAACTGACAATATGGTAATGAAAACAAAATTGTGTTTGGAAGCATTCCAATGAAATAATTTCATTAAAGCTACAGGAAGCAGTTATTAAAATAAGCGTGAAATAGTTTTATAAAGATCATACAAACCTCGCAGAAAAATGCTATAAAACTGCTTCATAACATAAGTAAGTGTAACAAATGAACTTCATAATTATTTCGAAATACGAAAGTTTCAGTATCAACTTAAACTGGAATGCATATTCTGCTTGGCACTGTAGCTTTAAAGAATGTATTGTTACATTTTTACCCGTGGGTTGACCAATAATTGACTACAGTGAACAATAATCAAACTTAACTTTATTTCACTTCAAGTAGAACAAACACTTCAACTGAAACTTCAACTATTATTCGAATGTCTATCGCCTTACTAGATCGCTTCGCGTATCGCACTGTAACTTCCACTTGACTGTCTCGATATGCTCGTGGCTAGCGTTTATATATCGTAATCGAAGGCGGTAGAAAATTCGCCGGAATTCTATCGAAGTCTGAGCTTGCTCTTCGCCACGTCACAATTGGTTTATGGCTACCAGTGGCAGCCGGCGTTATTTTCTTCAGGGCATGATTTACCCCTGGCTCCTGGTACGTTGATCTAACCGTGTTTTGGAAGTTTTGACATTGAGTCTTTCCTAACAATGAACTTCATTCAAATCCCTAGAGATCAAATTAACCCATACCTACCTTTGATATTATGGAACATTTCATAGGTCTGATTTTAGTAGCTTCGGAAAAAATATTATTGACATAGCGGTACCTCTTCCAAAGCCATAAAATCATACACTTTTACTAGCATAAGGTGGGACCCTAAAAACTAATTTGAATATTCTAGAAGTTCTCTCCAAATTTCCCATCTGACGCCTTTTATGTAATCTATTTGGTCTGCTTTCTGAAAATAAATTCGATAATTTACAAATACATGACTATAATACATGCTAATGAAACCAGCATATGTTGAAATTGCAAAAAAATCCTCATATACAAATATTACTCCGAAATTATATAACACACTTCCATATGAAATAAAATTGATCAGAAATCCACATCACTTCAGGAACAAATTGAAATCGGTCATATATAAAGTACCCAGAAAAATCATCTCCAGAAATTTACTCTATGCGATGTTTACACAAATGTCCATGGCACATAATTCAATGTCCGTCGTGGTATTTTCGAGGAAGTAGTTGTTTCTTTGCTGTTTTAACATTTGTTACACATTAGTGCTGAACTTTGTTCGTAAATGACCCACGTCTGTCCCTGATATAAAAAATATATTATCGACTTAAATTGGTGGGAGGATACTTGTAGCGCTGCGTGTGTCTTTAATATTACCTCGATTTTCATCCTTCCAGCATGTCAGAAGATAGTCCAACAACGCCTTTCGACTTCAGCACTGTGTTTAACGCCAACGAATTCGAGACCATCAACTCCCAATAATCACTACCATCCATCTGCCATGTCGGTGCAGCGCCATCTTTTGCAGCAGGGAGGAGTCCAAGGCAATAATGGCTATTCCCAACTCGGACAATCCCAAGCTCATATGTCACCTGGGCATACTCATACTCTTAGGTATTAGCAGCTTTTTAAGAACAAGAACCACCTACGAACATAAAATATCTTACTAGAAAATGTCGATTTTTCCTCAATTCTAAAACACTTTTCATCGTGGAGATTCGGCAAACTTCACGCATACTTTGAATTTCAATATTTCGGAAACCAATGGTTTGCAAACAAAGAGTTCAGAACATTGTCAAGTGACAACCTGTATGTGAGTGCTAACTAATTTTGCCAATTGCGGTTTCAACCTTATCGAACAGATAGCAAACATTTCACAGATAACAAGAAACAACTGATAAAATTCGGAATCTTTCAAAAATGAACCGTGATAAGTTCAGTGTTTTTATTGTGTTTTGACAATAATGTGCAATTGTTTTGAGTTCAGTCGATTCAATCGAGTAAATCAGGTACTTTCTATACCAATACGACAATACAAATTTGAAATAACTTCTGATGTTTGATTTTTTTGTACAACAGTGTATTTATTTAAACCCATAACATAATAGGTTGTTTCAAAAGTTTGGTTCGTGTTAACGTCATCTGTTTTTGAAACTCCATATCTCAATAAATATTCATTCTTGTGTGTCATACATACTGAGCGATATAAATTTGTTTACTTTCATTTTAATTTTTTCCAAATTACTTATGGTGATATTACTATATGATGTCGTTAGGTGATTCTCTGATTAGGCTTCTGAAATGGCCCAAAAAATCAACCAGGTATCTGGCAATGCCTGTTCGATGTTGGTTTGCGAAATTTCGTTCCGGGGAGTTTAACCTCGAATTGTCACATTTCCAAAACGATACTTTTTTTGGATCGGATTGGTATCGGATTGTCACGTGTGATGAAAAGTCTATCCGCTACAACAGGAGACGTTCAGGGCAGTAGTTGGACACCGATGAGCCAACCAGGCACTTCCAAAAACGAAAACCCATCAAAAAAACACTGTTACTGTATGATGGTCAGCGGCTGGTGTGGTTCACTATAACTTTCTGCAACCGAGCCAAACCATCACAGCAGAGTCCTATTGTGGATAAATCGACGAAATTCACCGGTAATTGCGTCAGCAGAAGCCGGCAGTGATCAACGTAAGAGGTCCGATCTTGCTCCACGACAACGTACATTCCGCAAATCATCATCCGAAAATTAAACGAATTGAGCATCGAAGTTTTACACTAGCTACCATAGCCCCCAAATCTCTCGCCAATCGACTACCATCTTTTCCAAGCACTTCGATAACTTTCTCGCTGGTAGAACTTTTGCCAATCGGGTTCAGACAAGAACAGCTTTCAAAGACTTCATCGAATCACGAACACAACATTTAAGCTGACGGAATTGATCGACTTGTGAATTGGTTAAGGCTTTAGCGCCCAAGATTTTCAGTGTTACGACCTTCGTTCGGGTTTGAAGGCCGTCGTGCTTTGGTAGTCATCGGTGAACCAGCAGGATGAATAGACCTCNTATATTATGAATCGGAAGCATTCAACATGGTAACATAGCTTATTGATGAATTGGAAAGGCATTGTTATAATTTGGTGAACGTAAATATACCAGTAGAGTTTCCAAAGAACTTGTTTTGTTTTCTCAGTGGTATGTTATGTTCAAACAGAAATTAATGAAAATCTCCATATCATGACTGTGCATTAATATCTTTCAAAATGAATTATTACTCTTCAGATTTTTCATTTTATATACATTTTGCTTCGTCATATCGTATCAGATGATTTCGAATCATATTTTAGTTACCTTCGAAAACATATTCTAAAACATAACCAGTTTTAGTCATCAAATAATGTACTTTCTGTATTTGTTTGTTTTCATTTGCATACAAACTAAACCGAGCTGAGATATCTTTCATGACATACATTGTTATTTATTTTTATATTTTTCATATTTTCATCAGTCAAATCGATATTATTTATATTCGTTTATCAGTGAGTTCAATTTCACGTCTATTAACAGAAACCATAAATCATAAAAGTAGGTTTCTTCTTTAATGGAATCTATCGGACAATTGGAAAGTACGGGGTATAAAAATCAATATTTCTTTTGTAACATGAGGTTCAATTGAATTTGAGTTGTTTTAATAGTAAAGTCCATAATTTTTTACAATAGTTTTTTTTGTGTCAAAACATTAAAATTTTTAATTTTCCAGGAGTCGTTGAACACTCAACCGATCGACCTCCGCCAGATCCACACCCTGAAATCCTCTCTCCACCACATCCACCGCGACATCGAGAAGGACCCCGTGTACAGGTCTTCCGACGAGAAGTGGCACTCGTCCACGTCGACCATCGGCAGTCACGGATCGTCCCAGGGCCTCGTGGTTCAAACTATCCAAACGGAGAACAATAACATCGCCAAATTCGCAGCTCCGCAATCGTTGGACAACCTGCAGAGCTCTCAGAACAGCTCGAAGGACCCCAAGGACCTTCCGACGCCAAATTCGACGCCGACGACGTCCAGGAAAAGTCGCAGGCGGTCCAACCTGTTCACGCCGTCAAAGAAGGGAGACGACAAGTTGAAGAATGGTGGTGATTTCGGTAGCGGCAGGGCCATACCACTAAAGCAAGGTATAACTTCATTGTAATCTTCATAGTAATGATAAGGTGAACAGATACATGCCCCCTCTTAAGTTGAGTGCTCTGAGATAGAATCTTCCCCACACGGTTACTGTGTGCAGAAGCTAGAATCTTATTCCATCCTCCCCCGCCCAATGCTGAGTGGACCTCAACTTGCTGCTAGGCACTTCAGTAACATTGGCATTTGACCTCTTTTTGGTCGAAGGCCAGCCTTTAGGTGCTTTTACTCTCTTATCTGTTGTTTTTGATTGAACGTGACACCACTGTGTGTAGTGTTTGCATGGGGGTCTCCTCCCCTTCCCTATCCGGAGACGAGCCAAGTGTAAGTGTAAATTGTGTGTGTTATCTGTGTACTAAAAATTTTCTATACTTACCGGAGCCGCCGGACGGTGACTCTCGGGTGTGGTCGTTGGTTCTGATTCGTCGTCGGCTTATTATGCTTATCCCTCTCACGCTTCATGTAGGTAACGCAACGCTGGACTGGCGTGTGTTCGAATTCGTTCAAAAACTTTTTCGGTGTGGTTTCTCATTAGTGCGTCTATATACTGGATGTTAAGATCCAGGTCCCGGTAGAGATATCTGTTTGGCATATATCTTGAAGCATATATCTACGGCCGCCTGCAAGCAGGAGTTCATAAACGTCTGAATACTGCGTCTGTATGTCCCTGGGCACTGGCGCCATGCAGTGGAGGCATACAGAATGATAGGAAGTACAACGGTCTTGAGTAGAAGCAGTTTCACATGGAGACTCCTTCGTTTAATGATTGGATTGAGGTTTTGTCGTGCGGATCTCGCCACCCCTATCCTCTGCCGGACATAGGACCTGAACGTTACTTTCCTGTCAGTGGTGACTCCCAGGTATCTTGCTTGTTACTTGAGCATGAATTGGAGAGGATTACAATGAGTCAATATTAATTGAGCGTTAGTAGACACTCAATTATAATGAATGCCATTCATATGACGAATCAACACATCCCCTGATCACGCGTTCAACTGTGTTTACTTGCATTGGAAATGAATGTATTATAGTTATAAATGAGAGGTTAGGAATTTCACTTCTTCAAATGTTCCTCAGTGCTCATTAGGCATTGCTTGTGCATCCACAAACAGAATAATGATTGACATGGTGTTCTATGTTTGTTTTAAAGACCAATATTTTGTCAAGAATAAATGACACAGTACCACAAATTGAAGTAGTTTTTCCAATTTCCAAATAAAACCATATTTCACAAATTGTCACGAAAATATATTACACTTAATTACAATCACTTACAATAATATGTTTGATTGATGACTTGTTTACTTTATGGTAACTCATGATCACTTAAATGAAATGAATAAAAAACACTTTTGTCTAAATACCAATGTTTTATACCTTGTTTTATACTTGATAATGGGGTTATACCCGAAACCAGTCATATAAATAAAATCTACCAGTGGTATTTAGACAAAAGTGTTTTTTATTCATTTCATTTAGGTACATCTAAAGGCCACAGATCTCCATCATCATTCATTGTTACCGTGTCTCATGTATTGAAGTATGAAAATAAGTAGATAAATGGAGAATAAACACTTATTGAATGAAAAATATGGGGTGCATTGTAATAACCTTTGAAATAATGTGCTGTTTTGCTGAGTGACAAGCAATGTCCAAAGTTTTTTATGATTACAATTCAAATTTATGTAATAACAATTGAGATAATAAAATATAAATAAGTTTGAATTTTACTAATCAAATGTACACCTCATCAATTAGGAATAATGGTGAAAGAAAAAAAATTAATTCAAGGATTAAACTCCAAACAGTGACGGTTGGTATTTGGCTTCTGTGGAATGTCATTTCTTTTCCATTTTTCGGTTTGTTATCACTATTTCAAATAAGTTGATGAATTTTCAAACCTAACATCATTTTGTTGAATTTTGTGATGTGAAACTTCAGCAAGGTTTTGTTTATCAGTTATTTCTTCCAGAAATCATAAACTTTCTTGGATTATTCCCGTCTACTTTCAAGTACTGTGATATTTTTTGAATATGTATCTATCTCGATAGATTCCAATAAATATTTCCAAATCCAGAATTATAGAGAAATATCTATCTGTCTCACATGTGTCGACTGAATAAATTTGATAATCATTTTTATAAACATAAAAGAATTCTGATATTCTCATCTACCTCAAACCACCTATAAAATTTCATGTCAGTAAGGCCTAATTATATTTTTTTATTCAGCAAAGTTAATATTAGAGGTTGGAACTTCAAGTCTCATATAAATTAAATTTAACTGGGATTTATCTTTCAATTAGGAATTCGAAAATTAATTATATTTAAAAGTGGGTTTGTCTGTCTATGTTAAGGTCTGTCTAAGTTAAAGTCTATCTAAGTTAAGTTATTATTTTAGTGACTCTGATTTACGATTCCTGATTTTAATTAGAGGCATTTTTTTTATTTCTTCAACAATAGAGAATTCAAAAATGGACATTACTTTTCATACCACTACTAGGTGCAATTATACCTCTTTTAATGGACCAACTACTTTCATGCTTTGCAAAATACTGATTTTCTAGAGATGTATATTAGTTTGTATTCAGAATATCAATTTCGAATTTCTAGTTTTGTTGTATACTGTATATGTATCAACCAACGAAATTTGTTTTCATCAACATCCAACAAATTTTCCAATCGCAACTTATTTCTAGGCTATCTTTATAAAAGGAGCAGCAAGCCTCTCAACAAGGAGTGGAAGAAAAAATATGTTACACTGTGCGATGATGGTCGACTCACTTACCATCCGAGTCTTCACGATTATATGGATGATGTCCATGGCAAAGAAATTTCCTTGCAATATGTCACAGTGAAAGTCCCAGGGCAGAAACCTAGAGGTTCCAAGTCAATCATAACGGTTGCTGGCGGTCACTGCCACAGTGCTATCAACGAAGGTCTTGGAGGCCTTTCTTTAATCAGTGAGTATTTTTCAACATCGGTAGAAATTTATTTTACAGTTTTTCAAATTATTTATGAAATCGAGTGACATGGGGCACCTAACATTCAGTTTTAATGAAGGAATTTATTTATATAACACCATGTATGGCCACTTTTAAAAATTGTTACTTCTCTCAATCGTAAAACTGATGACTGATACAATCTTCATTCTTAGAAACACAAACTATCTATCTATCTATCTATCTATCAAACACACAATTTTGTGTCATGAACATTGCTTGCTTTTCAATCTACAACAGAGCTCATACTTCTAGCTTCTATGTCTCAATCGCTTTTTCCTATTTTTCCTGGTTTTTTCGTTACTTCCTTCACTTTTGGAAGCATAAAAAAGTCACATGGGGCAATATCTGCTGAGTAAGGTGGATGTTTCAACACCAGGATCTCATGCATGGTCAAAAATGATTTAACAATCAGTGCAATGTGGACTGGAGTATTGACCTGATGAAGCATCCATTATCATTATTGTTATTTATACCATATCTTACATGAACTTTTATAACAGACAGGTAGCTTTCTAATTCAGCATTTTAGATAATTTAGTAATTTTAATTTTTAATAATGTTTTTTCATTTTCAAAAATGCTGCTCTGATTTGACGTTTGGTAATGAATAGTTTTAGAGTTTTATACATGAATATAGGGTTCCTTTCTCTAGTGAGGAGAGGTAATGATATAGTATATTGAAATTATCCATTTCCATGCAACCTATTTAGTTACTAACCAAGATAGTTTTAGAGTTTTATACATGAATATAGGGTTCCTTTCTCTAGTGAGGAGAGGTAATGATATAGTATATTGAAATCATCCATTTCCATGCAACCTATTTAGTTACTAACCAAGATTTTTTTATTATTCCCAGATAACATTAACATTATTTGAGTATGGGTTTAAGGTTTCTCGAAATTTGAGAATGGATGTAATTCCAGCCAAGTACCACTGATAAGATCTACGACAGATTAAAATAGTTTTGTCTTGGAACGCAAATGCTTCTAGCCTCTGATTTCATCCAGTTGCCTATTTTCAAAAATCGATTTTTTGGGAACTCCAATTGTCCACTGTTGACTAAGTTTGAATTTCAAAACTATTGGTGAAAGATTTCAGTCATTATTCAAATTATTTTCAACATGAGAAAGTAAGGTAAAAGATATTACCAACATCATGGTGTAAAAAAAAATTGTATAACAGAGGTCAGAGAACGGTCCATTGCCCATGAATGCACAGAATCTTATTTTGCCATCAAATTTCCAGTCGGTGCTAGATCTGTATTGTATGACTTATTTCTATTTTAGGCAAGGATAAACGAACTACTGAAAAAGCACTTCTGAGTGCTTACGATGCGGTCAAAGATCCTGGTTCTAGGTATGCGCAACAAGCCAGCGGGGACGAAGGAATGGTTCTGTCAAGCAGCAATTCGTTTTTGAACGGAGAGATTGCTAAAACAGAAACGCCTAACGTGAAAAAACGTCACAGGCGTGTGAAAAGTAGTGGCGTAAAAAATTCAGAGTATGACGGTAAGAATAACTTTCAGGTAGTTTTGTGCTGTTTCTCTGAAAACTTTGAACAATTTTATCAAATTATGTGTAGTTGTAAGATTGAATAATGAAGTTTCCAAATTTTCAATATTCGCAATACAAAAGTTGGTAATGGCATTACATTTTGATTATTGCACTACAATTCTGTTTTTTCTGAATGTTCCTCAATTTGGGTTATTACAGCAAATGCAAGTTTGAACAAAATAAAGTTGAGTTTAATTTATGAGTTTTTCAAATTCACTTCAAAAAGTATTCAAATTGATGTTTCAAATGTTGGGTTTTAATTTTTAAAGGNATACACAATTGAAGGTAAACCATTGGAATCTGTAAAATCTATACGTGATCTAGGTATTGTAGTCGATGCCAAAATGGATTTCCATCTCCATTATGAACATATCACTAGTAGAGCGATGAAAATGTTAGGCTTTATATGCAGATTAACAAAGGATTTCACAAATGTTAACTCCATAAAGGCATTGTACTTTTCATTGGTAAGATCAATTTTGGAATACTGCAGTTGTGTTTGGTCCCCGAAATATGAACTTTACAGTTATAACATAGAGAAAGTTCAGAATAAATTCCTGAAATATATTGCCTTTAAACTGAGCATGCCTCTGATCGATCACTCACTCTCAGATATCCGTTTCAAAACAGATATATCAAAACTCAGTACTCGTAGAATTCATGCAGATATTATATTCCTCCATAAGTTGTTCAGTTCGAAAATTCAATTGTTCAACTCTTCTTTCTGAAAGTAAACTTCACGTATCTCCCAGAAGGACACGGAATAATCAAATGTTTGCAATTGACTTCCACAGGTGTAATTATGGTTAAAATTCTCCACTTCCTAGAATAGTTTCTAATGGCAATAAGGTTGATCTTGACTTATTTTATATTCCTGAATGTTCTCTTAGACATAGATTGAAAAATATTCAACTGTTATTCACAGGAATAAGTGCTCAAATATTCAAATATTTCTATTTTTAGGTTATTATTATAATTGAAGTTGGATTAGTATTAGTGTTTACTTCCTAAAATGTATTGAATTCCTGTATACAAATTGGGGTTACCCGTAGATTTTCGTCAGGAGGAACATTCTCCATTGTAATGAATGCCCTCTCATTCAAGAAATGTTGAATATCTTAAAGTTGACGTCAGTAAAACAGATAATTACCTATCATATATCAATATTGAAAAGGGTAAACATTCAGTCAGAAGAGATTAATTTTTGTGAAAAAAAANTTTCTTTCTTTTGAGTAAATATGTTGTGATACCATTCTGTGAATTGCTGCTTCGAACAATTCTTGAGATTTTTGATGGACAAGTCTATCGACTGTAGTCATAACAAATGTGATCATTAACTGTAACCGAGAGTAAATTAATATGTTTGTACCTAGTATGAATTTTAAATGGAATAACTATGAGCGCGTTTTCGTCTGCTTTGTCGATATTGAGATGATTTGTGACGAGACTTGTTCTCTCTTTTTGTTATATTTTGATTATTTTATGATTATTTTGTTTATGTCACCAAAGAATTGTATGTATTCTTATTGTTTTGTATATAATGGTAAATTATGTACAGAAATTTATATATGTTGTTCTTCCTTAATAAAAAATATTCAAAATTTGACTTTCATTATGGTCTCTCACCCAACCCCTCTTCTATATTATGATACTATCTGCTGAGTGAGAGAAATATCTTGGTTGTAAAATCTGTTGAAAAATATAAAATTCACACACTTACAAATTTAATTATGTTCTGAAGACTCTACAACAAATAAGACGTTCTAAAATATTACTTGTAATAGAGAAATGTAATAGAAACATAATCTTTATCCATTCCAACATATTTAAAAACTACAGATGTAATTGAGTTACTGAAAATCAACTCTTGTGATCCACTGTTTGGAACTTTTGGTGTAAAAAGGAATATTACTGGAGTTTTTTCCCAACACCAAAGCGTTATTTCAACAGCTCAACACGTGTTTCCATAACGAAGTGATCATCTTCAAGATACGTGTTTCGATCACCAAGTGATCATCTTCAAGAGGAAGACCAAACTGCCAGTTTGATCTGCTTCTTAAACGCACTGTTCGACGTATTAATAAAATACTTTATTGTGAGATTTTCACTAAACAATTTTACAAAAACGCAACACGTGTTTCGCCATACAATGGCTTCTTTGGGCGTGTCTTTAATAGCTATATTCTACATATTCAATGCTTTAGTAACGGAAAGTTATTCAACTCTAATTGATCATTCAGTATATTACCCAAATTCCTGAATCTACTGATTTTTAAACATTCTAGAAGATTGAGTTTCAAACTCTTCTCTTCTTAATGTAACACGTATTCATGATTGAACTCATGTCCTTCTGCTAAAAGGTGGTTTGCAAATGTGGAATTGGTTTTACTATTTACAAAACTACTTCTATGGTCTTTAATTCTTTGGGAAAAAGTTTTCCCTGTTTGATCAATATACAGTTTTGGGCAAGAGCCACAAGTCAGTTTTGATACTCCATAGTCCTGATCTATCTGACACCGAAGTTTTGTCTTTATTGTTTTTAATGAATTCACTTAGACTATTTATTCGTTCTGTGAGCTAGGTTTACGTATTCTTTCTTTAAAAAACGGGTAATATTGGTTGGTTCACCCCAATATGACAGTGTCCTATATAACTGACGTTATCGTGAGTTTGGGTAGACCTGGTCCATGGGTTGCTTTTGTAGTTTTTTGTAAAGAATGGAGTCCTTAATAACTACATTATAACCGTTATTGACCGCGATTTGTGTGATCAAACTGTTCGACGTTTTTTTGCGAAATTTCATTCTGAAGATTTTATCCCCGAAGATGACTTCCGAGGTGGTCGACCTGTCAAAGACCTTTGACTGTGTTTCCCACAGCATTTTACTCGAAAAACTGTCATATTATGGTGTAAGAGGTACTCCATTGGGTTTGATTGAAACTCACCTGATAAATCGTTTCCAGAGAGTTTTTTATAACAATACATTTTCTGAGGCCGATTGACCTAGGTGTACCGCAGGGTTCGGTTTTGGGCCCCCTTTTGTTTGTTATTTACATCAATGATTTTTACAACTATATGAAGCCATGTCACAGTGTACTATTTGATGACGATACATTCTTCATATACTATGAATTATTCAGCTCTTGCTGATAAGTCTATGGAAATATAAGAAAAAGCGAAGCACTGGTTCAGTGTCAACAAACTCATGATGAATAAGGAAAAATCACAAAACATGATTGTTTATATTTGTATGATGGGTTGCTTGTCACAGTGATCCTCGGTATGCCTAAAAACCTCGCATCTATTGGAATGTACAGAAAAACCGCCACCGTTTTTATATCGGAAACTATTTTATTGAATGGCGTTCACAGAGAGGGATTTGTTGAAATGAAGTAAAAGTCTGTGGTTTTATTGTTACATACGCGTTATTCAGTTTAATATAATTTGCCTGGGGCCTGAAAGGTTAAATAATACTTGTATTGTGGCGACTCGTGCCTGCATCTTATTTTAGCTGTATGTTCCCGAATAACCAACCATTATTGATGTCTGTATTGATCACTCATTTCACTCCGACTCAGTAAAAGTTCCATATTACAAGAGCAGCAGTCTTGATTTTCCCTGACCATCCACGAAAAACCCTGAGAGCAAAACCCGTTCCTTTACAAGTAGTCGACATGGTATTCAAATTTTAGATTTTCATCAATGAAGAGCCCTAAAAATTTGTTTTTCTCCAAACTTTCAATTTTTAAATTTTCCAAGTGTACTTTCCCTATGTTACATCTAAACGTGACCACATTTGTTTTGTCGATGTTGAATGATGAAAGATTGGAATTTGGATTTGATCAAGTAAAATTGAGGTGGTATTGCTACGCCAGAGGATAGTGGTGTCGTTAGCGAAACATGTGAATTTACCACTTATGTCAACATGGACTACCTAAGTCATTGACATGGTTATTGTAAACTACATACTCATTGAAATAAGTTTGCAATGAATATTTCTTGAAAATATGGTACAATGGGATTTTTGTGAATTCGAGTTTAAGCTCCGAAACTACAACTCATAAAATATTTTTGTGTCGACTGCAAATAAATATTATTATTTTAATTTCAGCACAATGCAGACGTCAAATGTGTCGATCAAGATGGAAGAACATGCCTTGCATACGCCAAGGCTGCAGCCAGCATAGCAACGGCCAAGTCCCAATCGACCAACAGTCTCAACCTTGAAATCTCTGCGGCTACATGCAAGTCCCTAGTAGAACTTCTCCTCTCGTACGGCTGCCCTGAAGTGTCTTCGGTGTCAATTAGTGGGACGATACCACGTAGGAAAGGGAGTCAACCTGCGTCTCAATATGATAAGTTGCCGTCTAGCGTTCTCTAGGGGTAAAGGATTCTAATGGCGGATATCCAGGGTAGAAACGTCGTAATAGGCGCGCGGATGATTCGAGGGAGGTTAAGTTTGTGTAGGTTTCGATGTTTTTTGTCATTATTGTATAATTGTCCAGATTTGAATGTCGTTGAATCTTTGAGCAGAGTTACTTTTTCAATCGTGTGGACGTTTTGAGTGAGTTGTTTTCACCATCCTTTTTGAAATCAGCAATAATTGACGTTTGATGCACTCAGGACAAACAATAGTATCAGGTTTTTGCAAATATATTTTTCAATTTCTCAACGACATATTCATCAACTTTTCACAAGTTATAAATTTTCACAATGTTTTTCAAGCTTTGAATTATCAAAAAAAAATCAAAATTATCTAAAACTGTTCAATAACAGCTCAACTTTTCGTGTGGAACATGTTTCACAGTACTCATTGTCCAAGAAAACCTGTCACTAGACTAATAATTTTTACAAACAAAAAACATCAAGTCAAAAAATTCAGTAAACTTCTCAAGATATTAACAATTTTCAAAAATTCATTCAATTAGTTTGATCTAATAACAGAAATGGGTTTTTGAAATGAATTCATGTTTCAAAGAAAATATTTCGTGAACCCAAAAAAATGTGTGTGAGTGATACTTTTGTGTCATTGATTTTTTTCTTTGAAATTGACCATAACTGAACATGCTTCAAGGTAACAAAAAAATTGATGAATAACTAGAATCAGTGCACATGAAAATATTGAGATTAAATTTTAATCGATAAATAAATGTCAATTATCACCGATTCCTTAATTCAGCAATGTTCGGGCTGTCTATTCCTATATACTATTGTATCCATTTACTTATTACGATGTTTTCTACCTGGACGCTTCTTTCAATTATTGATATTACAACCAATGCGACTGATAAAATTAGAAATTTGGAATTTCTTTCACAAGTAATTATCAGTGAGTTTCAGTTAATTGAAAAGATTTCTTGAAACTTACTGTGGATGACTGGGTCAAAATTTATTTTCGAAATAGGCTGTTACGAGTAATGTTAAACTGCAGTGGAACAATCAGACTTTTTCAAATAATCTCACTCTTTATGCACTTGTGTACTTATCATTTCGATTGACTAGTACAGGAATCACAATTTTGCACTGTTTTTGAAATGAGGTAGGCTTGTCCAGCAAAATTTTCGAAATCTTTGATACCTATGATTTTTTTTCAGATCTTTTTCCGGAGAATATAAACATTTTAGTTGTTGAAAGATTTGTTGTTTTGTATGAATTTTGTGAGTTTTTTTTTTGAAGGAAAGTTATGAACAAGTTATCCGTGTTCTTTGCCTTGAAAATATTCATCAGAAATTGATCATATTTCAAGTATTCCTTCTTACATTCATATTTCATGAATAATCATTATTGCTTGTGTGATTTTTTTGTATGAATTTTGTGAGTTTTTTTTTTTGAAGGAAAGTTATAAGCAAGTTATCCATGTTCTTTGCCTTGAAAATATTCATCAGGAATTGATCATATTTCAAGTATTCCTTCTTACATTCATATTTCATGAATAATCATTATTGCTTGTGTGATTTTTTTGTATCATCAAATGAGGTTAACCACAATACAAATATTTTTTTGTGTACATACATTGTCTGTCTTCAATAGACTAATACTTTTATTCACATATTGTATGTGTAATTGAAAATTTTTCCACTCTGAGTTATTACCGAGTTCAAGAATATCAAAAATTAGAATATCTCTTACACAATTATGTGAGAACATGAGACCTCCTGTAGATAGTATTCTAGTTAATGGTAGTCAAACGAATATATATTCCATCCGAGAACTCTAACAACTCAATGAATGCAGGTACATTTTTCTGAAACTTCGGATATTTTTTCAGTAAATTCAGAGAAAATCATAATGAAAAATTAGGATTCAGCATGCTATCAAAAGAAGTCCTATTTCACGAGATTTCATTTCCAAAACCTAGCCTTCGAAATGATCGGGTTTGACATTTTAGAACTTTCATGGTAAAATCTCCAACAGTGAAGGTCAATTTTTAACTTCACATTCATGATCAGCTTTCAAATATTTGTCCGAGCCTTTAAATTTGCCTCGGGTAATAAGTTTCTAGAATATGATTTTGTGCAAAACTTTGGATCTTGGAACTTGGTTTATTTTGTTTGGAGAAAAAACGTGGAATTCATAGTGAAATAACTGCTCCTATGATGTGTAGGTATTTCAACTTGAAATTATTGTTTAAAGTATGATTTATTTTAAAATAAGGAAATAAGTTTCTATAAAATAAAAACCTACACAGATCATAAAAACCAGTTCTTGCTACCATACAATTTTTGTGAATTGTATATATTTTATTTCTTTCTTTTGAGTAAATATGTTGTGATACCATTCTGTGAATTGCTGCTTCGAACAATTCTTGAGATTTTTGATGGACAAGTCTATCGACTGTAGTCATAACAAATGTGATCATTAACTGTAACCGAGAGTAAATTAATATGTTTGTACCTAGTATGAATTTTAAATGGAATAACTATGAGCGCGTTTTCGTCTGCTTTGTCGATATTGAGATGATTTGTGACGAGACTTGTTCTCTCTTTTTGTTATATTTTGATTATTTTATGATTATTTTGTTTATGTCACCAAAGAATTGTATGTATTCTTATTGTTTTGTATATAATGGTAAATTATGTACAGAAATTTATATATGTTGTTCTTCCTTAATAAAAAATATTCAAAATTTGACTTTCATTATGGTCTCTCACCCAACCCCTCTTCTATATTATGATACTATCTGCTGAGTGAGAGAAATATCTTGGTTGTAAAATCTGTTGAAAAATATAAAATTTACACACTTACAAATTTAATTATGTTCTGAAGACTCTACAACAAATAAGACGTTCTAAAATATTACTTGTAATAGAGAAATGTAATAGAAACATAATTTTTATCCATTCCAAAATATTTAAAAACTACTCAATATACAGTTTTGGGCAAGAGCCACAAGTCAGTTTTGATACTCCATAGTCCTGATCTATCTGACACCGAAGTTTTGTCTTTATTGTTTTTAATAAATTCACTTAGACTATTATTTGTTCTGTAAGCTACGTTTACGTATTCTTTCTTCAAAAAACGGGTAATATTGGTTGGTTCACCCCAATATGACAGTGTCCTATATAACTGACGTTATCGCATCTTGAGTTTGGGTAGACCTGGTCCATGGCTTGCTTTTGTAGTTTTCTGTAAAGAATGTAACCTTATAACCGTTATTGACCGCGATTTGTGTGATCAAACTGTTCGACGTTTTTTTGCGAAATTTCATTTCGAAGATTTTATCCCAGAAGATGACTCCCGAGGTGGTCGACCTGTCTAAGGCCTTTAACTGTGTTTCCCACAGCATTTTAGTCGAAAAACTGTCATATTATGGTGTAAGGGGTACTCCTTTGGGTTTGATTGAAACATACATGAGTAATCGTTTCTAGAGAGTTTTTTATGACAATACATTTTCTGGGCTGAGTCCGATTGACCTAGGTGTACCGCAGGTATCGGTTTTGGGCCCGCTTTTGTTCGTTATTTACATCAATGATTTTTACAACTATATGAAGCCATGTCACAGTGTACTATTTGCCGACAATACATCCTTCATATACTCTTCTATGAATTATTCAGTTATTGTTGATAAGTCTATGGAAATACAAGAAAAAGCGGAGCACTGGTTCAGTGTCAACAAACTCGTGATGAATGAGAAAAAATCACAAAACATGATTGTTTCTATGGCTCTGCCATTACCTGAATCCAGTGTGTAAAATTATTGTGTTTTACTCTGGACAATAGGCAAAATTGGTCAAGCCACATTTCAAGTTTGAAAAGTAAGCTATCGAGTGCCTTATTTTTACTTAGACAGCTGAAACCAATAACAAATTTCACTATGTTGAAAATAGTATTTTGCTCGCTCATACAGTTTCACATTTCTTACGGTATTCTACTTTGAGAAAATTCTAGTGATGCCCAATGCATTTTTATATTACAGAAAAAAGCTCTGAGAATTCTTGCTGGAATCGGTTTTAGGGATTCTTGCCGTGAATCATTCATCACTCATGAAATTATGTCGGTGCTTTCTTTGTATGTTTACTTAAGCCTATTAGATATTCACAAAAGGGTCCCCTTGTTTTTCAAGCAATCCAGTTTACACAATCATGATACATGTAACAGCAATTTTATTAGACCTCAACGTTTCAGGCTGATGAAATTACAAAAAAACTCCTATGGTTTTGAATTGTATAATGCACTTCCTGCCAATATTAAAAATATGAATATGTTTTGTTTTAAAAAAGTTATAAAATTTTTTAAAAAAAAACTGT